CCTTGCATGGTCCATCAGCGTCAGTGGCACCACAGAGAGAGCAAAGAGAATGGGTCTGGCACGTTGATTTTCCTCAGGGAAACTAATGTAGCAATGCTCTGGGTCTTGATTCATAAGGTAGCTGAATATACTAGATGTAGGTGCAAAGCTGCATCAAATTTTGATACATATTTACTGGAAATAATAATGATAACTAGAACTAATGCTGACCTAGATTTGTTTTGTTAGTTACTAATGAAAGGTGATGAAAAGAGTAATTAACAAAAAAGGGAAGATGAATTAGTAGAGAAAATAAACAACGAGGAACAATCAGTCTAACTACATCAATTAATTAGGAAAACTTTCTTCCCTGCATGAGTCCTCAGTGGCTCGTATGTAGGAGGAAAAGAGTGCACATAAAGAGATGTGTAGATCTTTTTTGCCTGTATACTGGTATTTTCCACAGTGCAGGCTGCACATGTAAGGCTGTGCAAACACACGTGCACTAGGTATGGGAGCTATTAAGTGACCAGCAAGGAGTGCTTCAGTGGAACACCTTGGAGTGACACTTTCTCCTGCCCCATGTGCCTGTCTGCCCCAGGGAACAGCATTGGGTGGTGGTGATGGGTGTGAGAGGTTGACAAGGCATGAGTGTGCTCTCCACAGGAACTATGTGAAAAAGCAGATTTCCTATTTAACTGTGACATTTTTGGCAACTAATGCAGTCAGAGACTTGGTATGAAAAAAAGAAGGATGAGTAGTAAGCAATGTTACTCAATGGAAGCATTTATTACTTATTTATGATATCTTATAGCCACATCTGTCAATACATGTGCCTTAGGTATGTATGGAAAACATTTCTGACTACCTCCGTGTATTAGCGTGAATTGTGCTGAATCTCTAGTCATGAAAATGTTTCTGCTGGATCAACCTGCTTGTAATCAGGCTTATTTTCAGTTTATTTGAATACCTGATTGTTTCCAAGCATGAGGAGAGAATTAAAGCACAATTATGCACCAACAGAATGCATATAAAGTGAGATTACTGCAGGAAAGACTTATTGTTAGATGGATTATATAAATATGTTATTTTCTAAAGAGTGTTTTGACGTGAACAAACAGCACTGTTAGCTAAGGTAAAAAGGCACGGGGTGATGGGAGAATAACACAAACAGTACTTCTCTGAGGAGCTGTGCTCTCCAAGAGAGGAGACTGTTAGGGATGTAATGTGGACCAAGTATATCTCTGCAATGGAGGACACTTGGCTTCCCTTTTCTGATTCCAGATTGTGGAATCCTGTGTCAATCAAGTCAACAAAGTTTGTCTCCCAGTTTTCTTACTGGGTACATCAATTCTAGTGGACTCTATAGATCGAAGAGAATAGAAACGGTTTGTATTCTGCTATTTGAACCAAAGGCCAAGAACATTAGTCACAAAATACTCAGGTAACTTGTTAATCTCAGGTAATTAGCAGATGAAATCACTGAGACTTTGAGTTTGTAATAGAAAAAATTCATTGGAAAGAGGCTTTCCTTGTCATTCCTCACTAAGAAATCCAGTTTTCATGGAGACTGGGGATCTGTAACATGAAAGTGCCTGCTGAGATTTCTTTAAATGCCTCAGCAATTTACCAGGCTTAAAGATAATGTACATTTTCATCCCCTCTCTTTATTCTGCAGACCTTGTAAGAAAAACCAAAGAGAATAGTGATGAGTTGAGCTGGCAAATAGGTATGAGATTCATATTTGTTAGGTCTCAAATAGTCCACAGAAGTGTAGCAAGAAATTCTTTTGCATCATGGGCTCAACTCCTAATGATTTTTCGGGTATACTTCGAAATGCATCTTATGGGAAATTCTTGAAATGAAAAAAATAAAGCAGCAAGTACCTGAACAGACAGCATTGGCATCTTTGTTGTGGCCACAGTTATGTCTTGACTATCCATTGTGGGAGCATTGCCACACATAATCTTCATACCCTCAGCACTGCACATCATCCAGGAAAATAACTCCAGAACCTTCCCCAAACTGGGCAGCTCCTGGTGCTGAGGTGGGCTGCCCACACCCAAGCTGTCTGCAGATGACTTGAGCATCACTAATATCCCAGAAATCATGGCAGACTGTTCCCCAGTGTCCTTTGTAAAAAAGTTCAATATGTCCCTCACGTTGATTTCTGCCATTCTCCAGCCACAGAGATATTTCTAGCAAAGACAGAGCAGAAGTATATTACACACTGCCCTGACTCTAACCTTACACTTGTGCCAGGTCCAGGTCTGCATTGCAAAAAGGACAAGACTTGAGAAAAAGCTATTCTGCAGAAAAGGGCCATTCATGCAGCCTGACATGGTACTTGGAGCAGGCAAATATGCCTCTGATGCTATGCTGTACTTGCACCATAATTAAACAATAAGATACAGAGGCCGGATTTTTGTAAGAATGGAAGTGGCCATTTACTCTGTGCAGGTTCAGTGAATGTCTGGAGTAGCATGACACTTTAAGGAAGGTTGTGTTCCTGAGAACAACTTCTAGAGAGTCTAAGAAGGCACATGTGAGGGACCCTTTGCTCTTCTGTGATGAGTTTCTGAAAGTATGTCCAAGATTTTCACCTACTTGCAATGTGATTTGCTAAGCAGTGGGATAGGCTAATGGAATCTGATTTTCATTCAGTGATGAGTTCTGAATTGCACACCTTACACTCTTTTTCAAGGTGGTTTCCCAACATTTGAGTCCTCCATAATCATCTACATCATTTGATGAACTACAGCATGGCACTTTTCCATCCTCTTTGAATAAATATTATCTTTTCCCCTTTGCATCAAACAAAAGCAGAATGTATTTACCAGTAAATACCCAATTCTTAGAATGATAAGACTCACCAGATGTTCTGTCTCCTCTAGGAGCTGTGGATTAGAAAAATGAAAATATGAACAACATGAAAATTGTTATCTTAGCAGCTTCAGCTGTATTTCAGAAGAAATTAATTAATTAGTTGCCAGCAGCAGAACAAACACTACAACAAACCTCTGTGGTACCTGGTGGCAACTGGTGAGACCCTTATACCTCAGTCTGCTCTCTGTAAGTGGTGAGGAGCCTCTCTCTTATATTGTCTAATTTATTCTAAAACTAAATTACTTTTTTATAACCTGTCTTTACTACCTTAATCAAGACAAAGATTTTAGCTTGTGTTGAAAAGCCAGAGCAAGAGTTTATTCTTTAGGAATGGCTTCTAAGTTAAAAAAAAAAAACCAACCCAAACAAAAACCTAAAAAAAACAGTTAAAAGTTATGTTCTGGAGAGGCATGGGAAGGGTTCGGTTTGAACACATACAAATCTGGATATCTGTGCTATAGCTGGTGGTATCTGATTACCTTAGAATTCTTATGGGAGTAATACCCCTGCTAAACCCAAAGTGTGAAGTGTTTACCAAGCCACTTCCTCCTCCAGTATCTTGCACAAAACATAATGCATCTCCTTTCTACACTCCCACTGACTCGCCACCAGTAGCACATTCTGAGCATCCCAGACCGAAAGACCTTTCCTGAGCATGCAACACCAGCTCTTGTTCCCAGTAACCACCTCTGCAACATGTGGAGGAGAACAGAGAGAGGCAATCAGGCTCTCAATTTACTTCTGCCTTCACTGTGCTTCTCTTGTGTCGCACCCTGACAGCTCTGCTGGCTTTATTGCTATAAACCTTGTCTCAGGCTGATAATTAGATTTGCAATTTACACAATTCACAATTTTACATAAATAAAATAATGCCAAATGTACCTGAGCAAAGCACACTGGCATCTTCTCTGTGCCCACAGTTATGTGTTGACCATCCTGTATGAGAGCATTCCCACAGGTAGGATTCATTTCCATTGCACTTGTGTGTGCAATGTTCCTTGATCCTGGAATGAAATGTGCATTTCCCAGCGCAGAGAGCTTTTCCACATCCCAGCTGTCTGCACATGACCTGCACATCACTTATGTCCCAGAAGTCATCACAGACTGTCCCCCAGCTTCCTTTGTAATAGACTTTGTTGCAAACTTTCACATCTGTTTCTACCATTTATCAGCCTCATGGACACTTCTGTGAAAGAGCAGAGAGAAGGAGATAAGACTCTGTAGGCTGCCAAAACTGCTAAGTTAAAATTCTGGAGTATTTCTGGAGCTGATTCAGTATGTCATGCTAGCTATTGGATTCTCTCCTGGTCTTTCCTCTGCAGGGGAGGAGGAGAAAGCAACTTGATTAGTGCCAGCAGATCTAGTGTCATTGTGGGACAATTTGCAATCACTTGGTGTTTCCTGGGTCACTGTTTGAACCAAAGATCCCCTGCTTGGGCCAGGCAGATGTTCACAGTTACCTAAGTCAGGTTTTCATTCCCAGCTGAATACTGGTTATGAAATTAATAATAATGAAAGAAATGACCTATGTTAGATAAATGCTAGTGGGTATTTATCTATTGATACATTAACAATTAAGTATTAAAAGTAGTAGAGGCAGAATCAAGGTTTTACTCATCAAGACAAGGGTGACCAAGAGATGAGGTTAATCGAGCCAAAGCATCACAATGTGACCATGACTTTCTTGTAACTAAATTCTCTTTTCTCCTTGCATTTTAATACCACTTAAAGGCCTTTGAGTTTCATTAGAAAGTGGAAAAATCTCTTAGGTGTTTTTGTGTGTGTGAGGTTAACTCTACCCAACAGATAAAATGGAAAATACTGTTTTATGCAACACCTTTTCTTTTTTAAGACTTTGGACTTTTAGCAACCTGGTCCAATGAAGAAGTTTTTCACACACAAAAAGTCCCATCCTTTCAGTACTCTGGCAAACCAGATATACATTTTAGTTTCAATTATTAATTGTCCTTAAAGATTAAAAATCCATGGTTAACGTCATGAAAACTATGTAAATCAGTATTACTGCTTTCATTGTTGTCAAAATATACTATATTTTAAGAAGTCTTTCTCATGCATAAACTACTGAAGAAACTAAATAAGATGTAAATTGGTAATAATTTAAATAGGAAGTTGCTTATGCTAGGGAAAATTATTTCAAGGTAGAAATGGTTGAATAAATATGAAATTGAAATTGCCAGGTATTTCAGTTTCCATAGAAGCTGTGAGAGGAGGAAATAGACAAAATACACATTGTAGCAATTACAGTTTTTGTAAAATTAACTATACTTTTAGAACAGGTTCTTCACTGAAAGGGTGGTTGGTCACTGGAACAGGCTGCCCAGGGAAGTGGTCATGGCACCAAGCCTGTCAGAGTTCAAGGAGCATCTGGACGACATTCTCAGTCATATGGTTTAGTTTTAGGTAATCCTGCAAGGATCAGGGCATTGGACTCGATGATCCTTATGGGTCCCTTCCAACTCAAGATTTATTCTATGATTCCATGATAATATTTCACCCTTCTTTGCAAAACCTGTTTTTCTTTCAGATATTGTTCAACAACTGGTTAATTAAGCTCTATGTAATACATGTGTTCTGAAGACAACAAAAATGTTGAGACATGAGATTATGAGCTGACTTTCATTGCTAGCAACTTGAAAAGCAATGGAGAACAGGATAAGATTTTGCAATTTTTTTACCATCTGACAGATATTAAAAAAAGTTGCCAGGGTTAAATTTGGGTAAGGAACTAGAACTGCCAGAAGTCTGAGCATGGCATGTCCTTCTTCAGAGGGATCTGACAAAGCCCTGCTTCCTTGTTGCTCCCTGCCCCTGGACTGCAAAAGAGTCATGACTCTAAACATTTGGATTTGTTTTATCCTGATTATCTCACACAAATAAATAGTCTGCAGGCATTCAATAGGAGCTTTGTCAAGGTGAGGCATGTGGGATTAGGACCTTAAGCTCATGAAAAGTCTCCTGTGTGAAAGCTTGTTGGTTCTGTAAGGGCAGAACGTGCCTCGGGATTGCTTTTTGGTGCTCCTCCCTCGTCTTGGTAATAGGCAAATAGAATTGGTTAATACAGATTACAGATTATTAAAATAATGTGATGGTAGTATAAAAGTATTGGAGTGACACTGCTTAAAATGCTCTAAAAGTTTTTGAATCTTAGCTAGATGGAAGTTTGCAATGACAAATATTGATTAAAAAAAAGAGGGAAATTCTCTGTGTAGGATAGAGCCTTATTACTGGCAAGAGAGCCATAATGTTGTAGAGAAAAGGTTTTTCTAGTTCATGGGAGCACTTGTCAATTTGACAAAATTAAAAATTAATTGTGACTCTTCTTGATAAAGCAAAGATATTAGTGTGTACACAAGCAAATGACACTGGCATCATGGTGGCTGTCACAATTCTCTCTATACCACCCCCTGTAAGAACTTCCCACAGGTGGTTCTCATTCCCTCTGCATTGCACATCATCCTTGACAATATTTCTTGGACTGTGAGTAAAGGTGACATCTGAAGATGATACAGCATGTCCACAAACCTGCTGGTTACAGGCAACTTCTGCATCACTTATATCCCAGAAATCATCACAAATGGTCCCCCAGGACCCATATTGTAAAATATTTCAACATGCCTTCACATTGGTTCCACCCATTCACCAACCTCACTGACATTTCTTTGAAAGAAAAAAAGATAATTTCCCCAAACCTGGCCACTTCATGGAAAGACAGAATCAGAAACTTATGCAGGTTGGAAGGGACCTCCAGAGGTCTCTGGTCCAGCCCCTGCTTGAAGCAGGTCCAGAGCAGGTTGTTCTGGGTCATGTCTATGAAAGCATTGAATACCTCCAAGGATGGAGATCCCATAGCTTCTCTGGGTCCCTGTTCTGGTGTTTGACCACCTCATGGTAAAAACATTATTTTCCTTTATACTGAGGTGGAATTTCCCAAGTTCTGACTTGTGCCTGTTGCCTCTTGTCCTATTGCTGGGCACCTCTGAGAAGAGACTGGCTCCATCTTCTCTGCACCCTCCCAGTGGGTGACTGTAGATGGCAATAAAATCTCCCGTTCACACTCTTAAGACTGACCAAGCCCAAGTCCATCAGCATCTCCTTGTACATCTTGTACTCCAGCTCCCTGAACATCTTGATGACCCTTTGCTGGACTTGCTCCAGGATGCCCTTGCCTCTCTTGTATGGGGAAGCCACACTCTTGTACTGGACATGGTGCTACAGATGTGTCTCACCAGAGCTGAGTAGAGGGGAACGATCACCTCTTTTGACCTGCTGGCAACGCTCAAAGGGCATGTTGTTGGCTCATGGTCAACTTGTTGTCCACCAGGAACCCCAGATCCTTTCCTGCAATGCTGTCATCTACCCAGCTGGGTCTCTGCTTGTACTGCTGCACTTCATAATCTTAGCTGACATTTACTGTCAAAGATATTTTTTTGTGAAGGAGGAATTAAGGTGGTACAAAGCAGGTTGTAAGACAGACCTCTATGCCATTCTCATTTCACTAGGTAGGTATGAACAAGTGTTTTCAGCCTGCTTAGATGTTCCTTCTTTTCAGAGTCCCTGGGGCAAAGCCATGCTCCTAAAGCACATACCTACTCTACCTGAAGACAGTGATATTCCTGAATAATTCAAGCTCTGCAGCACAGGATCTACAGCAGTACTGCTCTGAGTAAACGTTATGTGCAAACTTCAGTGTAACTCTGTATGTACAAAGTCAAGTCTAATTTATCCAGACTTAACATTTAGATGGATGTAATTTGGAGAAGTTCTTGACTTTATTCTCTGTTAAACAGTAACAGAATAGAAAAGCTGGTCATCTGTTTGATACCTGGGCTACACTGATGTATTATCGTGACAAAAGGATTTACAAATATTCCTCTTCATAAACTGTATGTTGGTACTAAATGACTATATTAGGGAAAATTTATTTCATCAGTAAAATCAATAAAGATATATAGAAGATGAAAACTACAGGGAACTTCAGACATCAAAGAATCTGGGAAAAAAGAAAGGAAAGAATGAGAAAGTTCACATTTTTAACAACTTGCACTAAACAAAATGAACAGAAATTATCTATTTACTCACACTGCTAGAAAAAACCCCACAAACCAACTCTCAGTACATTGAAATTTTGTCTTTTTAAGGTTATTTATGTTTTTAAATGCATAGTAGCCTGTATTTTGCAAATATAGTAATATGTCTCATGAAGGATGTTTTTCAACATCACATAATGAAATCGCTAGTTAGTTTCTCTGTGATTCTTATTAACAATCAGTTGAATTCATTCTTTAGTTAGGAAGCAATGGGAATGGGAAGATGGGTAAGCCTCTGAATGGCATTATACTCTACCAAAAATAGGGAAATGTAACTGTCGTGGTCCTTAGAGTTTACTATTTAAAGATTTTGACTGTGGAGGCTAACATGTGGGTTATAGTTCTCTCTTAAGAACATTTGCTGAAATGCAGGAGAATAGTTTGGGGTTGTCCTGAAGAGCTTGGCAATGATTTTGGTAGTGTAGTTCCCTTTCACTGAGCACCAGAATCTCAGTCCAGCAGATGTGTATAGCATGCTATTGATCGCTGACGTCAATAAATCAGAAATTATCCACACAGATGACACCGGCATCTTCCTGACGAAAACAGTGATTGACGAACCACACGTTATGGGAGTACCACCAGAGGAGAGCTTCGCCCCTTCGGCACTGCACTTCATCCAGGAGGATTTCTCCTGTGCCATCACCAAAATGAGCTTCTCCCAGAGGTGCAGAACATTCGTTCTGCCCATTCACTGGCCTCAGGGATGATTCTTTGGAAGACAAAAGGAAATTAGATCAACTATTAGAGTGACTGATGTGTTTTCAATGACTCCTGCAGTCTCAGGCTGTTGGTGGAAAAGCTTTACAACAGCTCTAAGGAGCCCATCAGCAGGGAAAGTGTGCTCTAACCTGCACTGCTCACCAGACTTGAGTTCCTGTGGTTTGGGGCCTGATTTTAAAGTGTCTTCCAAGGGTAAGGCATCTGAGTGTCCTTATGGCAGTTGCATAAAGCTAGAGTTACAGTGACACAATGCCATCATCATCTAATGGGGACTCCAGCACATCATACTGTGTTTTATCTGGCCAGCAATGGACTAAACAAGGAAGCCGGTGCCCAGAATAGCACAGCAGAAGGACACTGCCTCCAGTGTTTCACTTACTGCGGTAAAAATTGAATGTATATGGCCCCTTAGGCATTACTTTTGCACTGGAGGCACATATGCTGCGCGGCTTCCAGCTGAAGATCTGCACAGTGAAGACCACTGTGTTACCCCTTGGCTCTGAACTACTTCCAGATTATTACCCGCATTAATTAATATTATTCCCAAAGCTTACAGAAACTGTGTCACAGACAAACCTCGCTATAAGGAACAGATCTGCTGACACTGGTGTATCCAAAGCAGTAATTCAGACCTAGGCTGTGTCTAACCTCTAGGCTGTCACTAACCTGCTACAAATATGCAGCTCATCATGCTTTTACCAAATGCTCTTACCTGCTTGCTGGGGTCCCCTTTCAGTGTGTCATTATATTTTTGTCTAAGCCCCTCCAGTGCACTAAAGAAAATTAATTACTTATCATTATGTATTTTTTCCTACAATGCATTAAAATACAATACAATATATGTGTTTCCTACATTACACTAAAAGAAAGAATTAAAATATTTAGTGCCATCTTCAGTCCTCAAACCCTCTAAACACCCATGATGGCCACTGGTTTGAGTGGGCTTTGATACAGGTTACAAAATTTGCTAATATTGATTTTAGAGGAAAGCACGAGAGAGAGGGAGATAGCACTGAATAGCATAAGGCACAGTACCTGACCCCTGCAGACATCCTTTGTGCAGCAGTAGCATTCAAACAGCGGTCAGCATGGGCCTCATGTTAACTGGGTTCCCCATAACACTGATAAAATGTTTCCAAATTTATAAGCATGTGGATTTAAAGGGGTGTGCTCTGCAGTTTGACCAGCCTTTTTTTTTTTTTTAGTTAGTAATGTCATACAAAGGAGATAATTTTAACTTTTAAAAACATTCTCTTAATTTTTTTGGCAAGGGTTTGTTTATAATACCTTGATTTTTCAGTTACCTTAATTATTGTTTGCAGCCCTTCTCTTCTATGGGACCAGTGGTTAAACCCTCCCCTTGGCATATCCAGTGGCAGCCACTGGCCCAAGAGGAACCAGCTGCATGCAGCCAGGGAGAAAATTAGTGATGTCAAGCAAAAAACGATGGCAGACTTTTTCCACCTCTCAGTTTCTTCACTGTCCTGAAGTGGAGCTGGGGGTGGTTGTGCTCCCCCGTCCCCTCGCAGACCAGACCCCCCAGCCCATGTCCGGCAGTGGTGGCTCTGCCTGGGGTCCATCAGGGTGGCTCTGTGGCCTGAGAGGGTTGCAGGGATTTGCAGCACCTCCTGTCCTGGCCCACTTGTGCTGTCCAGGAGCCTGGACAGAGCAAGCCCCAGCAAGGAAAGCCCTGTCTGGGGAACCTGTCGGGGCAGAGGTACCACGAGCCAGCTGAGGTCTTAGCCCTGTGCTCCCATGGCTCACACAGCCAGGCCCTGGGCACCAGAGTGCCTGCAGCTGTAAGCATTACCGGGGCAATGGACTGCTTTATCTGCTAGGAAACAAAATGCTTTTTTTCAAAATGCAATGCCAGAAACCCCTCAAGACTGTACAAATTCTAGTCTGTGTTTCAAACAGTTAATTTTTGGCTTGATCTGTAAGTGTCATCCCAGCTGTCATACTTCACAGCCTTCGGGAAGCATCTCATGTCATGCCTGGATTAATCCTTGCAGTGTTGGCAGAGAGTAGTCCACTCGTCTTCCTCAACAATGCATTCCTTAGAGAAATACAGTGAACTTTTATGAAACAAAGAAGGATTGTTTCACACTGGCAAGGTTCAGATCAAGTGTTTACTCTACATGCACAGTGTGCAGCTTTCAAATGCAGGCTGCCCAAGCTGCCCAGGATCTCGAAAAGAAACTGAAGCAACAGGTTTTCGCCACCCTCCTGTAAACTGGAGCTTCACAGTTGGCTTTCTGAGCCTGCAACTAGGGACGACAGGATCCTGCATTTTGGAAAGAAGGCCTGGCTTCACTACATTAATATTAAGTCATGAGTCCTGCCACCTCTTTGCATGGGACAGCAGAGCCTTCACATCAGCATAACTCAATTTTCATCATATCTCATGCAAAAAAGCTGTGCTTGAATCCAGACTTAGCAATGGAAGATGGTGGTAACTAATGCCAAATGTTTCAGAAACACCTCAACATCCCCAGCTGAACCTGTGTATAAACCTTTTATAACCAGATAACTTCAGCAAATGAGGAGCCCTCAAGTCAGGGTCCTTTTGTGCTAGCAACTGGTCAGGCACAGAAGAAAATTCAGTCTTTGTACTGAGTGCCTAATTTTATTCAGTGCCTAAATTAAAAAGCAATAAGCAGAAGGGATGAGTGAGATAAGGCAAGGAGTAACAAGATCTTGACATGCATTGTGAAGTTATCTGCATGGTAGGAGCAGGGATGAGAGGGGAGGAAAAAGAAGCAAGAAAGGAAAAAGTCATATGGAAGAAACATAACAGACTTCATCCCCATCACCAGTAGATGGGTTTCTACTGGACTTTCGTCCCCAACCTAGTAGATGGATTTCAGCCTCCAAGGCTACCAGACAACACTCATCTGACTGCAACTGTTCAAAACCCACATTTTATCTATTCTATTTAGACACTCACACACACACAGAAAACTTCCTTAGACTCAACAGGTTTGCATTACTATGTCTGGGCACAAAGTACAGCCCTCATAGTCTTCATGCAGAAAGAGGAGGAAAGAGAGAGGCCATCTCTCTGAAACTATAGTTTCTGAAAACTGACCCCCCTCCCAAAAAAAAAAAAAGATTATGACAGTTGTTCAACTTGACAGGCTCTTTAGAACAGCAGCAGTCCAATTAATTTCTACATTACAGCCTGTGACTAATTCACTTATTTCAGAAAGAAGGAAAAATCTGCTTGGACAGGTACCAGGTGATCCAAGTGTTATTCTAGGAAATGAAAACAAATCTCACTTCCAGTGACCCACCTGGGTCACTGACGAGTTTCCTCATCTAGGCATGATTTCATTAAAATACGCTTTTTTTGTCATAGTTCTTGAGCCTGAGATAGAAAATGTCTTAAAATACACAAGCTGCTGTGAGAGTTTTAATATCTCCTTAGTTTTTCCCAGCTAGATATAAACTGCCAAAACAAATAAAAATTAAATAAAAAAAACCCCATGAAAATAAAAGCAAACTACCAAAATAAAGAAAAAAAGGAAAATCTCTTCTTGTAACATAAGACATTTAACAGAAATTGTGTGAAAAATTGTGCTTGGATTCAGGGATGATGGACAGCAAAGGACTGCAATTCTTTTTATCTTGAACTTGACACAAACAAAGGGCAGTGGTGGGTCAGTCTCAAGAAATGCCTTTGCTGTTTCCTCTGAGTTTATTAAGCATGGTGGACAATTCAGCAACCCAGCTGCAGTGGCTGTCTGCCTGATTTCCCGTTCAAGGTAGATCCTAGAGCAATCCTGTTAAAAAAGCTTGCCCATGGTTGGTGAGTCTGATGGAGATTTTAAAAAAAATGAAATTATCAGTCAAGTGAAAGTGATCTCGAGAGTATATTCATTTAGTTATTTAATTGGAATGTCGTGCAATCATTCAGTCTCAGGCATTAAAAGACACCTAAGTCAGAACTGTGAGCAGAAGCTTATGCTTAGCTGCTTAGTTCCGCTTGATGTCAATGAATATCTGTGGGGTTCTATGGCAAGGCATGGGGAGAAAGTAATAAAAACAAGAAAAATTGTGTTTCTTACCTATACCCTGCAAACCCAAATTAGCTATTTTTTTAGTCTCAATCTACAAAACATGGGGATTTGTTATCAACAACTGGAAAAAGAATCTACCTGCGAGCTATGGGCTCCAGAAACAAAACAATGCTTATTTATACCCAATTATAAATATTTTTATAGTATGTTCCTGGGAAGGAGGATTACAGAGTTGAATTATCTGCTTCATACTCCAAAATTAGAATAGAAAGATAAACAGGACACCAAAGCACAGGAAATTCAGCATACAAACAAGCAAACAAGAACTTTGTTTCTGAGCTTTGCTTTAACCCCAGTGCTGGCCAAATAGGTTGCATGATAACAGTGGGAACAGCATAATGGCAGGAACCCACAGAGTTTGTACAATCTTTTTACCAAAAAACGTGTATGTATTTGAAATCAAATTGCTATGGATCCATTCTTTTTCCATGAAAAAACCTTCTCGAGTGCCACTTCAGGGGAGTTGTTCAGGGATGTGCAGTTTTGTCAGAGTTATGAACACTTGCAGCTACATGGTCTGGATATATGTGGTGTAATTCAGTCATTATCCTCTCCCAACACAACTCACACTGCATAGGTTGACACTTGCAAGGGGTTTTAGCATGATGTTGCAAACAACACGTTTACTTGGTGCTGAGATTGTCAGTTGAGTGCATACTACTGAGTGAACAAGTGTATACTACATGGTTGAGTAGTGACAGACACGCTAGGAAGAAATTAAATAATCTAATACCAAAGACAGACAGTTATTCAAAGCAAAAACTTGCCAAGTGATGGTTGGTGTGTCTTCTCTGAGGGTGGAGGAGGCAACAACAACAAGCCTAACTGCAGCCTCCAGAAAGCTCATTTAAAAAGAGCAAAGGCAGTGGCCTCCACACACTCCTGGTTCTTGACATCCCTGTGTTTGCAGGCACCAGCCTTCACTGTGCAGTTGGTGTAATACTGATCCCACACAAAATGAATAAACAAGAAAACAAAACAAAAGGCCAAATAAAGAATTTTAGTTCACATTTTGACTTTAATTCTCCGTATGTTCAACTAGGATATGAAAGGCAAAAATCCCAGACCTTGCTTTTCATGTTTTTATGCACCATTGGTAAACATTTATGTGGGATTTGGCTGTTTGCATTTCCAGCATATTTCAGCCTGATTTATGAATGTGCACAACACACTCTGGAAGGGTGGGTAAGTCCTGAGAAGCCAAACTCCTCGCAACCACAAAGTATATAACCATGGGAAAAATAGAAATTAAATAATTTTATTGTGATCAGCAACCAAAAGTATTAAAAATTGAATAAAACTCTTCCTTCTCAAAAGGAGACATGAAATGTCTTTCAACATTTAAATAACATTTTGGTGAGACCTGAAATGTCTCCTGACTGAGGTTTGATCTCTTGGATATCTACAGTTTTGCCTGGTTTAGGATGTATGTCAATGGGAAGGCTTCCAATTGATTTGACAAGCCTTTAGGTCAGATTGTGTGGTTCAGCCTTAAATATTGCAAACAAACCACCTTTAACAGCTCAGTATTGTTTGAATTTGGATTTACTTAATCTGGAGAAGTGAAAACTTAATGAAAAAAACATCAATCTTCAAATAGGTAAAATGCACCTAAAGAGAAAGGGGAGAAAATGACTCCCCATGGCCAGGAGGGACAGGGCAAGAACTAATGGGCTTGGACAGCAACAGTGAAAATTGAGGGTAGGCATTGTGAAAAGCCTTTTCAACGGTGATGCTAATTTCAATAGTGAGTCTCATTAAGCATGAGAAGAGGTTGCTTAGGCAGGTTAGGGAAACATCTGTTGCAAAGATGTTGGGCTGAGGTGGTGGTGCTGAGGGTGCAGAGGAAGCTCCAGCTAATGTGCTTTTGGACACTCTGGGTGAGCAGTGGTGCCCGTGGCCGAGGAGGAGGTGGTATGGGGGTGGCTGGCATGGAGGATGGAGGCAGCAGCAGGGACCTAGTGGCTGTGTGGCAAACAGGCTGCAGTGTTCATGGGGTCAAGTGCCACAACGTGGAGCGAGAAGGACACCAGGGCTATAGTAGGGATCTCAGGAGCAGGAGGTGTGTGTCATGAGGAGATAACAGAAATGACAGGAGAGAAAAGAGCAATGGTAGTTATACTAAAATGGTTGGGGAACTTTTTCTAGACCTCTCAGGGCATGATGATTTCTGTGCTCTGTTGCTCCTTATCTTTGCAGATAAGTCTATCATCAATGAGGAACCAAGGAGTCTTTCAAGGACTTCCCTGTGAGGTTTGGACATTTTGTTTTACCTTTGATGCTAGATTTTGTTTTATTTTTTACCCACCCTTTACAGTTTAACTCCATTAAAATGCCTTGCTGTAGCCACACACACACAGATGTGCCCAACACATACAAAACAGAGATACTTCACACCTCTTCACAACAGTATGTAGAAGTGTTTCAAAATACAACCGATGGGCAGAAAGTCAAATACTGGAGGGAAAGCTTTCTCTCCAATAACATGGAGAAACACACTGCCTGTAGAAGACAGTTATTCCTCACTGGCATGTAGGGGAAGCTCCTGTCACCTTTCCTGAGGTCCTCGCCTTTGGTGCTGCTGTGGGAACAGCAGCAGATGCAGAGCCTGCTTGGATGGGAGAGGATGCTCAGGGACTCAGTCAGCCACCTGTTTTGGTGGGAGCGGAGCGATGGGGGAAATGTGGATAGACAGGTCCTTAGGAGTCCCCTGAACAATGTGGGTCATTTTGCTTTTGTGTGTTGACACCCAGGAGAAAGTAATAGAAACTAAAAGAAAAGGCATTTCTGAATCAAGAGTCAGCAATCTGGCTTCCTAGGGCCAGATATTTTCTGTAAATTTGCCTGTGCAGAAATAAAAAGAATTAGCTCATTCCTTTTGAAGCCTACATTAAGATATTTAGAAATTCCCTACGTAGTATTTCAGAAGCAGGGGCTCAGTCCATCACTTGGTGAATTTTTAATCAAACAGACCACCCTCTTCAACACAGTAAAACATTCATTTGTATTTTAATCACAGAGACATTAATTTGAAAGCCAAAATAGAATTATTGCTTTGTAAACATTCCTTCCTTTGATTTTAAATTACACTCCTCACATAGCAGATTACTTTAGCTTGGAAATCTCTGCATTTTATAAATAAGCACAGATCCATTATTGTTTCAATGAGAAATTTAGCATTAAAAACAATACTCAAAATAATTAGAATATTGTATAGCCGCAATTCCAGATGCCATGGTAAGATCAATTTTTACATTTCCTTTCCAGACATGACCTATTACTTGTCCCCAAATTAAATCTTCCTTCCTTTTAATAAACCTTGAAATTATTGATGCCTCATTCATATTTTCTCTCCAGCTCAAAAATTTTGAGGCATTAGATAAATGGTCTTAGAAGGATGTGAGAAGAGAATTAAAGAGGAGAAAAATGATATAATGACTGTACCAAACAACTTGTGACGTGAATGTTGAAATTATTTCTTAATCATTTAAGAGCTGTTAGGGTTACAAAGTTATTCTAAAGCATTGTAACAGGCTAGGATTCATTGTAGATAAAGATATCACAGCTTCTTACAAATGGCACATATGTTACTGTTGTCAGTGAATCATTTTGGCGACTCATATTATGTGTTGTTTGCCCTGTAGTCGTTTAGTGGATGATGCTGACCTTTGATCTCACATTATTCCATGCAAAAGCGGTTTCTTCAGTGCAGGTTTCGCAAGAAAACCGGCAAGAACAAAAATGACAACTGCCAGGATGGTGACAGCAGCAACAACCGGCACAAGGGGATTATCAGCAGCAGTGGGAACCGCCTGGGGAGGAGGCACAGAAGAACCCAGCCCTGCGAGTGAAGGGGGGTGGGGTGGTGGCGGTGGTGGTGATCTCAGTATATTAAAGATCAGGGCACAAAGAGCTGCTGCATTAAAAGGGATGGTTCCCTGATCAGAGTCAGAAGTAAGCTAATTTCTTATCAATTCACTGCTTTAAACTATTTGAACAGCCTTTATATTAGCAGAGATGGCAACTTAACTAAGCAAACTTCATAAGCAGACAAATGTGGGAATTAAATGTTTCTCAAGAAGGCTGGGAGTTTGCTCCCAGCTGGCCATCACGTTACACAAGCAGACTGGAGCTAATTAGTTCAATGGAGTTATAGCACTAAAATGGGTTACACGCTACCTCTCCTTTGGGGCAGCCAAAGCAGTTATACTTTTTATACATGCAGGTGAAAACAGGGGGTTTTCGAGGTGTTGAAAGAAAAAGAGATTTGTAGACGTTTGGGTCAGCCAAACAATCCCTTCCTTTTTATGGCAAAGTTAGCAAAAGCAGATTTCAGTGACAGATGTCAGAAACGCAGAGCTATGGCTTTTCTTGAAGCCCAAAGTAGTCTTAGAGTAAATATGAGAGAATGTTATTTGACTTTAGCAGTATTCCTACTCTGAGCATCCCCTTCTCGAAGCTGAAGTGGTCCGACAACCACATTCACATTTTCCTCAGCAGAACTTGTATCTCTCTTGGACCTATTAATACAGCCCCGGTAGCAGCGGGAGGAATAGTCACCAAGCCTGCACACCACCAGCTCACACTGCAAGTAGACTAACGTATGGCGGCTGATGAACTCAAAGGCATTAAATTTGAACCGAGCAAAGTGGCTGTATGGGGAGTAGTATGTGGCATAGGAAGAATCTCTAACACATCTAGAAAGAAATGAAACAGAGAATTAGTCTTCATGGATACACACATGTACATTCCTGCAAAAATACAATAGATTAAAACAAAATTATATCATAGCCAGGTACTAAGAACACAATGGGATGAAAATGTAACTTTTATAGCATAGTGTAGACTTTTAAAATATAGACTTAAGTCCTATGAAGCAGCTAGAGCATTGGCAACTCTTTTTTTTCCAAGAGGAGACTATAAGTGGTGAAGAGGGGAGAACAGACTCTTACTAATGTCTGTGCTATATGAGGCGTAAAAAAATGAGTCTAATGCTTGACCTGGTTTTACTAAAACATTTAATGCCTAGGACGATAGATTCCTGCTGCCAGTTTTCACTATCTCATCTCATCTACCTCACTCCCACTACTTTGAATTTTGCATATAGGACAGGCATGAAGTAAGTGAAATGAAATGTTATTAAGGTCTAAATGTAATTTCTTATTTCCAGGCTTATACTGTAAAAATAAAAATTCAAAGACCCCTTTTAACAGTCTGTTGATAATGAGATCTATACTAGTTCAGATTGGCTCTATTCTTTTAAATAAATGCAGAAAGGGTATTACAGCTATGTGTCTAAAGACTCAGGAAAGCTCTTACCCATTCCTGATTATATCATAGGCCAGAGTGTTAAAATCATGAGGGTCAGGTGATGCCACACATGTGTCCACAAACACGATCAGATTTGGATCAGAGCTGTGAAGATAAGCTTGAAGGTACAAATTTTGGTTCAAGTCAATGTAGTATGGAGAGTCGTGCACTTGCCGCAAGAATGATGAGGAATCATAAAAAGTGATGTTCATGTCATATCTTCCAAACTGATTTTCATTCACGTCTACAGTATCCTCAGCAACATACATTATTTGCATCCATGTGTTCTGTAGCATTTTGCAGCTGATATGTAAGTGAATATTCTTTTTCCTCTTGATTATGTACCCAGAAGATGTAACTTTGATCATGTTGGAATAGTTGATTGTATCATTGTTCTCCTGTTTAACATGTAATTTAAAATGAGGAATTGTATTTTTGTCATGTTCCATGTTCTAAGCTTTGATAGAGTAAAATGTAATTTAAAAATGTAGATTCGTCTTAAACTCTTTAAACCAAGAAGCTTGATGTTGGTCTTTTCCACTCACACATTGGAAATAAACTTGCTAAGTATGTAATTAAACAGAAATCAGTGGAGAAAAACTCTTTGTTAAATCCAAGGCAGAGCCAACTCACTGAACATCTGTACAAAACACCAGTTGTGCAGTACACAGTCATCCCAAACCTGCATGGCACTTACAAGACTACGTCTACTTTAAATCATGTAAAGTTCATATAACTTCCTCTCATGCTTTCCTCCCTAGAAGCTCATTTCTATTAAGCATGGGGATTCCCTAAGGTATGGAAAGCTAAAGCACTAAAAACCTCTGGGTCTCGTTGGTTCGCTTCTTAACACCGTGGACCACAATGGCCCTTTCATGACTCTTTTCAAAGCGGGTCCCGCAATTCAGTGCGCACAATGGTGAGCGTACCTCTCGTATCGTCCCACAGCCGTTGTAGGGAATGTTGAATATAACCTCGTGTGACGTGACTGTTGGTTTACAGCGATTGTCGTTCAGGGTGACCATCTGCACTGAGTAGCCTTCAGACTGGAGATAGTCTCTGCTAACCACTACATGCATGTAGTCTGGCAAGCACAGAAGGGCTGGTAGAAGAAGATACAATATATTAGTGACTTCAGGAATTTGTTAATTGTAATTGAACCAAATGTTTTTTTCTTAATTTAGAAGGTAGGCAGTTCACATACCAACCCATCATATTTCACACGCGTCATTTCATTTCCCTAACATCTTTAAATATACACAAATATTTATTTTGCAAACAAAAGCAATAAACAGGCTTGTCCATTGAGGAACACCAACCGGGAACTTACTAGTGTTGTCATCTGCTGGAATGGAGGAGTAGTGAGCCTGAAACCCTCTGAAAGTGTATCTAGAATCGCTGTGAAAGCGAACGGTCATCATGTTTGAAGAGGATATGTACGTGGGAAAGGAACCTGAACAAAGTCTCCCAAGAAGCGAGGAAGAGTGTGGAGGCCCGTCATAGACTTCAACGTAGTCATACTGGCATCTGCCACTTTGCATCCTGGCAAACAAACATCAGCACCTTGTCAAATGCGTTTCAGAAACTGATTTGACTGCCTAACATGTGATAAAATCTTTCAGCACTTAAAGTTCTCACGGCAGAGGTTTTATTCATTATGTATGTAGCTGTAGCAGAAAATTGTGAGCAGAAAATACTACAGTAATCCAGATTTTGTTCTGGTCTTCCAGCTGCTGGATGTTATTGAAAGTATCTTTAAAATTGGGAAGGTTACCTGTTTCAAATAAGTTGTCAAACTTCTCAAGTAATTTTGACTTTGTTATTTGCCCAGGAAATCAATGTTTTACTTACGCAATATCTCTAAATGTGAGCATAACACGGAAATTGTTCTCTACTTGTAGTTCCCACACACAGTCAACATGGTTTGGATAATCTCCAGGGTAGAACGGACTCTGCAGCATCCCAGAGGAATTTGAGATTGAGCCACCACAAAAATAAGGTGCTGCAGAAAGAAATGGAGGAGAATTTACTTACAGTAACTTCTACAAAATTGTACTTGAGCTGTATGTTTCTCGTCTGCAGCTGCTGAAAAGCAGGTCTCCTGCTGACTGCAGGTGATATTCTGTATGACCTGAATCAAAACAAATTTTTTTTTTTTTTTTCTTTAGGTTTATTTTCATGTTGGATTTGAGATTCCCTGTCACATCCGTGGTGTCAGACCATCCTCTTCAGGCTGGGCTGGTAACACCTTGATGCTTTCTGCTCTAGTCTCTCCTTTCTGCAGTTGAGGTCTGATTCTGGGAGGTGTCATGACATTCAAATTGGAAGTACCTTCCTGAACAGACAGCATCTCCTCGGTTACTGTGCTGCTTCTCTTTATTCCCCTAAGGACTTTGGAGGATAAATAAGTTGCAAGTCTTCTAGGAAACTCTGCAATTTTATGGTCTCAGACTGAAATAAGCACTCCAGGCTGCTGGGCCAAGTCTTAAATACATCTCATTTCTCCTATAAGCGTAGATGCAAAAAGCTTTCATGTACCTACCAGCACGAATGACATATAATTCTTATGTTAATCCTAAAAGTTTCTTATAGGAAGCTGAGCACAAGCTCTGAGCTTAATTCCTACAAGATGTGACACGTAAAGGCAACAACCCCCCATTTTATGTTCTTGCACAGGGACACCCCCCAGTGCAGCACACTCCTCCCTCCCTCAGGATTTTGGGATTCTCAGGCTATTCCAAGCTTGGGAGCATCAGCTATATCCAGACACCGCCCCTTCCTCTAATCAGACTGGATTGGCTTTCAGGCACCTTCACTTTCATACTATTTTCTACAGTGAATGGTCAAGCTCTAAATCTAAAATCTGCTTTCTAAGGCAAAAATAGCAGGCTGAAGACCATAACAGGTCTAGTAACCAGAAGAGCCAAAAATTACACATTGCAATACTTGAACACCACTCTGCCAATACTGATGTATGTGGTTAAAATTTAGAGATTTAGACTACACTTCCTAAGCCTTGATCCAGCTGAAGAGCCCAGCGAGGAAATGGCTTACCCACAGCCAACCAGCGTAACTGCAAGATAAGCACCACTGAAGTGCAAGGGGATATCACAGCCTTTCTAGAAATTATCAAGCAAGTTTCAAGTGATATTGCCATAGAAACAAAAATCAAATTTAAAAAAGCCCAACAAGGAGACAGCCCACAAATAAAAAAGGTGAGAAGAGCCATGGAAGAGCATTACCTGATGGAGGTGTCGGAGTGGCCAGAGCAGCTGTGGGGGTGGAGGAAGAAGAGCCACAAGTGAGATGTGTTGCTCAGGAGAAAGATGCTGGGGCACAGACATGGCCCTACCTTGGGGCATAGGGTACCACAGAAGGGATCGCGGTGAGGAGGGGATGGGGACACGGGGGACCGGGCACAGGGGGCCATGAGCTCCATGGGAGAGCTGGTAGCCTCCGCTGCCCACGCACCTGCACAGATGACGCCGGCGTCCTCCACGTGCCTGCAGTTGTGCACACCCCAGCCATTGTGCCTGCACATCTGGAGGGAGGGCTCGTCCCCGCGGCACTGCATGTTATCCAGGAAGATGGGCCCGGAGCCGAGGCCGAAGCGCGCGCTGCCTGGGGCGGCCGTGGGCTGGCCGCAGCCCAGCTGCCGGCACACCACCTGGGCATCACTCAGGTCCCACCAGTCGTCGCACACCGTCCCCCAGCTGCTGCCATTGTACACCTCCACACGGCCCTCACAACCGTTCCTCCCGCCAGACAGCCGCAGGTGGGCACCTGGGGTGAGGCACATGGCCCCAGGTCAGGCTCCCGCCAGCCCGGCACCCACGGTCCCCACCTCCCTGGCTGTTTTGGGGATTTGGCTGCAGCGACCATGAGCTGGGGTGGTGCAGAGCCGAAAGGACTAGGGGAAGGCAGTGGCTGAGCAAAGAGCCCAGGTGAGTGGAGGGCAGGTGCGCCGTGTGCAGGGACCTGCTGGGGGGTCCGTGGGAGCTGCCTGGGGGCAGAGGTGCTCGGGGCACTGGGGTATTTTTATAAAAACCCTTTGCACACCTTGAGCGTGGCCCATCCCCGGAGGGGCACCACTCATGCACCACCCTCGAGGTGTTTGAGTCTGTGGGACCTGACAGGGTGCCTGCAAGGGTGCTTGCCACCTCGGCTTGAGGTTGCAAAGCCACCGCCATGCCCTGGTATCAGGGCAGCAACCTGCATCCTGGGCTGCCCCGGCAGGCGTACGGGATTGAGGGAAGGGATTACTCCCATCCACTTGGCACTTGCTGCCCCAGAGCCAGGAGCTGCAGCGTGGCTGGCAGAGCAGGGCTCGGGCCCGTCACCACTGCAGCTGCCCTTCTGCAGCGAGCGGCTCAGCTGCTCCCCAGCAGCAGCCCCCAAAGCCCATGGCCCCTCACCATGAGCAGAGGGGAGCAGCAGCCCTGCGCCGGGCAGGCACAGGCCAGCACGTCCCCCCTCTTCTCCTCTTGTGCCGGGCTGGGGCTCGCTGCAAGGCTGGGAATGAGCTGGGTGGGCACGAATTACCTGTTG